TTTTTAAATTTATTTTTTCTAGAGTTTTATTGATTTTTTTGTGAGAAGTGCACCCCGGAAATAACGCTTTGTCGAAACGATGTAGAAACGATGATATGTCGGCATACTGCGCCGAACGGCGGCCGGCGGCGGGCCGCGGTGCCGAGCCGACGGCCAACGGCAGGGGCAAGGCGGGCCGCCCGCTCAGCCTGCGTGTGCGACGGGCCGGAGGTGCTGCCTAACCCGCAGGCGCTCCCCTGCACTCACCTCGTCCGCGAACATGGTGGTGTCGCTGGTGTAGCCGTCCAGGCGGCGGCTGGCCTGGCGGCTCGCCTGCCGCCCGCCGGCGCCGGCCTGGCCCGTGGAGTGCAGCGAGCGCAGCTCGGACAGCAGCCGCGCCTCGTGGGGCTGGCGAGCCGACCGGAGCAGGCCCTCGCGACGCTCGCGCAGCTTCTGCTGCTGCCGCTGCAGCCATGTCAGGTGGCTGCGGCCTCCGGGGCTGCAAACAGAAGAAACGTCACGTCAAAAACAAAGTGCCAAAAATGTATTTAATTGCAAAATGGCATTCAAGTGCAAAAATGTAATTCGAGTGCAAAAGTGTATTCAAGTGCGAAATGAATTTTAAGTTCAAAAATGTATTAAAGTGTAAAAATGTATTCAAGTGTAAAAATGTATTCAAGGGCTCTAATGTATTCAAGTGCTGTAATGTATTCAAGTGCTGTAATGTATTCAAGTGTTGTAATGTATTCAAGTGTTGTAATGTATTCAAGTGCTGTAATGTATTCAAGTGTTGTAATGTATTCAAGTGCTGTAATGTATTTAAGTGCTGTAATGTATTCAAGTGCTAATGTGTACCACCAAAACCGCAGCGTGAACGAGTAATGTAGCGAAAAGAGTATAGTTGTGACGCAGGAGAATAGAGTGCGTGACGCGGGGGCGCGGCGCCAATACCGTCCCCCCGGTCGCGTCGCCCACTCGCGCGCTGCCGATAGTCGCTAACTCCGCTGCCGGACCGGGGCGGAGGGAGCAGCCCCGGCCGGAACGGCCCCCGTGGGCGCCCGACATCATCATCATCCTCGTCGTCCTCCTCCTCCTCCTCGGCGGCGTCTCTCGCAAACGTGAGCGCTTTGCCAAAACGACAGCGCGAAATAACGCTTTGCGTTCGCTTATTGCGGAGGCGCGCGAAAAGGTGCCGTGCCGGGCCGGGCTGGGGCTGGGGCTGGGGCTGCGAAGGAGGCGGGTCAACGGCCGATACGGGGAACGAGGCTCTCCAGGCCGAGCTCTATGGAGGGGGGCACACACATACACCACTCTCCGCCACCCCCTGCCACAACAACCACAGCAGCAGCAACAACAAACAACAACAACAACACCACAGGAACAGAGCAGCACCCAGTGTTGGAGGCGCTGAAAAGTTTCGGGCAAATTTCCCAGACCACGGATTTTTTTTCTGATTTTTGTTTCAAATTTTCTGAAAGTTCTAAAGTTCTAAAATTTCCGGAAATTTCGAAATTTTTCTATTTAATTTTCCGGAAATTTGGGGAAATATCCAGCCCTAGCGGCACCCATGAGTGCAGGCCGTAAGAGTGCAGTCACACCTTTCGCGGTGTACAACAAGCAGAGCGCCCCCGGGTCGCACGTGGTCACCGCCACCGCCAAGGCCGCTTGCTTGCGGGCCCCACAATCTCAATCGTACCGTCACGTGACCATTGTGTCGTGGTCGTGGTGGTGCAGCAGAGTGTGGTGTTGTTTCCAAACCCTTTTTATTATTATTATTTATTTTTTGGGCACACCACACGTTGATTTCCCTCTACCTCACCCTCTGCCTGTGAGACACATGGAGGATGGAGGGCAGGTCCATAAATCCTGACCACACACGCACGGAGCACAACAGCAGCCCATGCGACACATTCATACGCGTCAGCGTCATAGGCCGGCGTCGGTGGCGGCGGCGGGCGAGCTACGCGTCTGACGCCTTCCTCCACTACACAACAACTATACTCTGCTCTCTTTGGGAGTCTTCTTCATCATCTCCACCAGCAGCAGTGGCAGCAGGAGCAGCAGCGGCGGCACGGTAGGTCGTTGACAGGTGTCATTTGTCAACGGACGCGCGCGCGAGAGGCACCGCCCCTACTCGAAACACCTGACGTAATTTACGTCCCCCCCCCCTTTACCCCACTGCACCCCGAGTAACGTCGTCTGCCAACCATTTCGTCAAGGCCAAAGCCAGTGCCAAAGCAGTACCGCCAGGCCCGGGGCCGCCGGACCGAGGAGGGGGCCAACCCAACCCCGGCCAGAGGGTGCGAGAGAGACAACGGAAGAGAGCTTTCGAACGGGTGTGAGCGAGAAGAGGCGAGTTTTGGTCCACACACAAACTTCTCTCTCCCTCTCTCCCGCACACTCGGTATCCGCCACACCTCGTGCGTGTCCCCGCCAGCCGCAGCCAGGTGGGCTAATAAAGTGATGCGACAGACAACTTTTAACATATCTCAGGGTGACAACTCTAAAACTACTACAATCATAATAAGAGTAGTTAGTCACTTTGCGATGCAATAGATTTAAAGTAGGGCGTTTCGTTATAGTAAGATTTGATTGACGAAGTCATTTTTCACTATTGTCAAACCGAAATAGTGGTAATAATAATAATAATTCCCCTCGCAATCCAATCCGCGCGCGCGCACAAACTGCATCAATTCCCGTTTCACTTCGGTCAGAGTCGAGTCCGAATCCGGGTCCGCGACAGCGTGGCGTGGCGTGGCGTGGCGTGGCGGGGCGTGGCGGGGCGTGGCGGGGCGTGGCGGGGCGTGGCGGTGCTGCTACGGCAGCAGCATCTCACGCGGTGCGTCCAAATATGGGGGCGGGCGGGCCGGGCCGGGGGCCTCAGCTCCGCGCGCCACGCCGCGCCACGCCACACGGACGCTGCTGGAATGTCCAGGAGGGCTTTACCCACCGCCACGACTCTCTAGTGGAGAGACAGGCGGAGAAAGAGAGTACACGAAAAGAAAAAAGGAGACCTTTTTATATTGTACTTTGGAAAACCAACGCTAAACCAATAGGTAAACGGGGAATAATTGATTCTTTAGCTATGTTTGCTAAAAAATTAGCTACATAGCTAAACATTTAGCGACGTGCATATATTTTCAGTTAGATAGCTCAATTTTTCTGATAAGCTGAAAGTTTTTGCTTCATACCTAAATAATTAGTTAAAGCTCAATGTTTAGCTTCATACCTAAATAATTAGTTATATCCCATATTTAGCGCTATTGATTTTCCTGTATACACATACATTTATGAGATTCATGATACGGATGCAACAACAGACAGCTGTCGTTGGCAGTCAAATAAATATTTACCTGGCCGTTTAGTTTTGGCGCGGACTATACCTCGCTTGCTTCCGACCGGCACTGCGTCCTTGCCATCGCCATCGACATGATGGGATGGGACCCGCCGCGCCCGCGAACCAAAAAGAATTGATCCTCGAGGACACCAAGGACGGCGGCGTGGCCCGCGGAGCAAGACATAGGCGGTATGGACGCAATGCCAAGGACGCGAAAAACAATCGCACAATGTACGCCCCGCCACGCCTAGAGGCGCCCACACTTGCTTCATACACGACACCATACCGCAAGGTCCAGCAGAAGCCTGGGCAGGACTCAGCAAGACTCCGTCTCCGGGAAGAGACAAGTCCATCAAATCCATGTACGAAACTAGTCGTGGCAGTGCTGTTGCTGCAGCTTGTCGTGGTGGTGGTGGCGGCGGCGGCGGTGGTTGTTTTTCGTCCCCATTCTGCCGCGAAGTAACTGTCTTTCCCCGTCATCTTCGCGGAAAACGGGCGTGTGTATGTGTGTAAGAGGCTGTGTATGAGTGTGTACGTGTGTGTGCGCCGAGCTCCAATGCCGATAGCTTCACCCGTCCAATTCCATCTTGAGAGGATCCCGCTAGGCTCAAAAACGTTAGTAACAAGTCGACGTCCTACCCCTCTCGCCCTCTCTCTCTCGCACACACGGACACACTCACACACACAGAGAATCCTTGTTGTGCTGCTGTCACAGTTGTGCGGTTTGAACCGGCACGGCTGTTAAGCCCAAGAGACTTATTGTTGTCACGAGACACCTAAAGGGTTCAGGAGGAAAAGTAGAGGGAAGGGAGGGTGTGTGAGAGGTGGGGGTGGGGGGAGTGGTGCGTGTATGTGGAAGAGAGACAGAAAGGAAGAGGGGGAAGTGGGAGATGGATAGTCTCGGGGGAGGGGAAGAGCAAGGAGGGGGACGTGCGGGTGGAGAATGTGCCTGACAGAGACTGAGGTCAAGGCGGGCAGTCATCCGCTAGGTGTGAATATGCGCGTATGCGAGTGTGTGTGTTCGTATGCCTCAGTGAGTGCGAGGGAGAGAGATAGAGCGACACTACTAGACGAGGGCTCGTATTTCTCCCGGAGCACCACCACGACGACGACAACGTCGGTGTGCCGAGCCGCAACACCCGAGACACCTCCTCGCGGTCCTCCTCTCCCTTCGCCCCCCGCCTCCACGACGCCGTGCTGGACACACACGGCGGCCAGCTGAGCTAAACTAGTGCAGTGTCCTTACTTAACTCTGTGACGCCGCAGGGCACACCAAGGTCCCCGTCGGCCAGGCGAGGCGCGCAGCGCCCGGTTCCATTCTTCGGGGGTGTCGCTTACCACACCGAATACCGCCCGCGGCGGGGGCCCAGCAGACCGCCAGGACCCATAGCCGAGGGGGCCCCGACCAGGACGGACCAGAGTACTCGTACCGCAACCACCAAAGCCTTGTGGTCCACAATAGGACAAAGGGACCTCGAAATACTTGACTTATTTTGTAAGCAAGTTGGCTATAAAAAATAATTTATAATTAATCGCCAACAGCCAAAATAATGACTTTTCAAGGGGCACACCCAGAAAAATTGTTTCTTGATTCAAGTGCACGCTGACACAAGATGAAATTCATCTTTGAAACAAGCCAATTTTATCTTTGGAATAAGATTTTTCTCTTATTCGAAGGAAAATAGCAGCTTGCTTCAAGAGTAAATTTGATCTTGTGTTAGCGTGCACTTGAAACAAGGAAAAATTGACTTGAAACAAGAAACGATTTTTCTGGGTGCATGACGAGAAATGTGTGCGGGGCGCGGGCGGGGGGCTGGGGATTCACTCGCAGATGGCGGAGCACGGAGTGCGGTGCGGCCGTCTCTCGCCTGTCCTCCTCCTGCTGCTCCCCGCGAGGAGCGTGCGGGTGTGCGCTGCAGACCGCGCCCCGCCCCGCCCCCCACCCTGCTGCGCACCCCCCGCGCTATTTTCCGACCTGTTCCACATGGGCACGCGCTATTTGGGTACATCCGGCGCGGCCGCGCGCGCACGCCGATAGCAGCCGTATCCCGGTGCGAGGGAGGCTGCGGAGGCTCTGCGGCCGGCCTGGCCGGCCAGGGGGGCGTGTTGGCGCGAAAACAACAATAACACCAGCAGACCAGCACCACAACCCGCAGCGGCAG